TGGCAGCGGGTGGATCCGAGGCTTGGGCTTTTGCAAGGCTAGGCGCCTAGACTCATTCTGCACGTGAGGCATGGCCCAACAGGTTCTGGAACCATTTAAGCAAACCCCATAGATCGAAACATTGGGTCTCCAGCTTTTAGAGCTTTACATGGGTGGCGCCAGGGGGGTGGGTGCCCCACACTGTGCCCCACTCCAAAGAGTTGGATCTTGGCTGAGGCAACAAATTCTTGTTGAAATTGGCAGGTTGCCCAACCAAACCGATTGATCCCCGTGTAAAACTCTCCCAAACCGATGTCTGCTGTTCATCCGTTCATGATCTATCTGCTGTGGTTTCCACGATGTGTTTTCTCAAGTCACGGCAGTTAAGGTGGGAACCAGCTTCATCATCAGTTATTATTGCTGATTTGCTGATCAGGGCATATCAGGGCACTCTCTCTGCAAGAGTGCTGAGAGAGTGCTGCTTGAACCCGTGGCAGCATGATGAATATTGCCATATTGACCCATTCACCGTACACGCAGCACGGTCCGTGAAAACTTGCTGGCCAGTACACCTTCATCGAGACTCTTTCACAGCTGCTTTTCCACTTGGCACAGGTGCATCTGTCCTCTTCATATCTGCTGGGTCAGTCCCTTGAGAGCCAGGAGAAGATGGAAACAATTCCCAAGGCAGGACAAACAAGGTAGTCTAGTCGAAGATTGAAAGAACAATGAAACACATGCGCCACTGCCGTTCTCCATTGTGGTTCTCAAGTGAAGTGTCAGTTTGGATTTGTCGTTCCATGTTGATCCCCTTCTATCTACGAGCAAGTCGATCTTCCAAATCTCTCCAAGCGAAAGGAGCTTTTGTGGATTTTGTGCCAAGTTCATACCAATTTTGTACTGGTCCAATTACTTATCATGGAAAAAAACACCTGAGTCGGCGATTCTTTTTCACTCACAAAGACTACGCGACCACAGACTCATTGGTAGGACAACGATTTTTTCAAGCGACTTGAAGGTCTGCAACTTGAAAATCCAATTTCTCCCCATCCAATGATCCAAAGGAAATGCACGTATGAGCCAGCTAAATGAACATCAAAATCTCCCCTCTCATCCCCCCATCTCACTCTTTGTCTCTCTCTCTCTATATATATATATATCTCTCCTTGTGATTTTGGAACCTCTCAAAAAGGCCCTGAGAACTTGAGATCCATCCTCTCCCCGAGCTCCATCCGAGTTTGCGCGCTCTCGCGCGAGCGAGCTTGGACGACTGGAGGTGGCGGGCGCCAAAGCCCCCGAGACGACAAGGGCTGCGGTTGTAAAAGGCCGTAGAAATCACCAGGATCGGATGTCCAACATGTCTCTCAGTCAACCACACATGTGCAGGTCAACCTTGGTCAACCGCACAACCAAAGTCATAGCAATAGTAACAGGGCTAGTAAATTAGATCTTTTAGGGTGATTAACAGGTCTTGCAGGCTTGAACCCTTCGCTAAACCTTCGCATGAGCATTTGTGACTGGCGCAACATGAACCAACATGAACCACCATGAACTCAAAAAAAATGTTCATCCCCAAGTCGCCTCAACCGCGTGAGCCCAGTCTTCTCTCTGGACTTCTCCACCGTCGACGAGCGGCCGGAGCCTCAATCGCGTCGCCGGCCGCCTCACCGTCCAGCCGGGCCTTTCTCGCAGTCTGGACAACAAAGAGGCGACGAAACAAACAAAATCCAGCAACATGAGGGATCTCTGCGGTGGCTAAAGGTCAGAAACAAAGCAATCACGTGGAACCGCAAATTCTTTTTCAGATGTAATTAAGGGATCAGCGAGCAAACCACATCAAACTCCTAAAACATATAGAACCACCTAGACAACAAGGAGGAGCACCTCAGATTCTGGTGTTGAATTTATCAATGGTCTTTGTCTCTGGGAACAGGTTCTTGCTGATAAGATGCCTAACTCTGCTTAAGAGCTCAAAGTTGGGAGCTTCATGACCCAACCTTAAAGGCAACGTCTCCTTCCAAGCCATACTGTATATAGAAGAGAAAAAGGGCTGGGTCCCCCAAACGGTAGCTGCTTGTGCATTTTGCAGCTTTGGAATATCCACGAAACCATCCCCAACCGTAGCTACCTTCCAAAGCTCCTGGTGCTTCCAATCTGCATCCACAAGCCACCAATATTGACACATATTAAGGCACAACTTGGCCAAGAAAAGGATTCGTGTTTGTCTAAGTTCCTTGTCCCCGACTACGCGCGACCCGGGTCACCAACTGCTTCTCAGGAGACCAACCTGAGGATCCCGGTCAGAATTCGAGAGCGGACCGGGCGTGAGTCGGCTCAACTGTCCATCTCCAATCACTGCGGTCACTGCGTAGAGTGTGAGGTTCGCGTTTGATTTGCCCGTCACACCGGTTCGGCCTCAGGCCTCAACAACTGTTCTGGGCGATGCTCGCGGAACTCCCGGCTCGGTCGCTCCGAACAGCTCCCTGTTGAAAGGGGAAATAGATGGATCCTTTGCTCCGTTCGCAGCTTCTTGTTCCTAGTAAGGTCCTAGTCAGTAGTATGGCCAGGAGCTGTTAGTAGCGTCCGATTGCTCCTAGTAGCGATTGCCCTTTGCTCCGTTCGTAGCTTGTGGTTCATACCTCCGGCGACTGCTGACCAGCTAGCTTGACAACCAAGAAGTCACTTGGCCGTTAACGTGTACAGGTTGTCTTAAGAGGTTATTTCTTGGGAACGTTCTCCTTGCAACATCGGATTCTGACAGGAACGGAACGAAGCTTAGTGCGGGTAATCCTTCCTTCAACGAATGAAGACAGCCGGGAGGTGATAGATTGAATTGTCTCAGGCAATCTTCCAACCTGAGGGAACTCACATTAGGGAATGAAGTGGGACTCCTCCACTGGAGGGCAGGCAGAAAGGAAAGGCATGGACGATGGGAAGCCAACTCAAACCTGCCAACGGTGAAGAATTTTGGTTCCTGACTGCCAGGGGACACATCATGCAAGAACCAAACGAACCAAACCAACAGAACCACTCTGCAAGCTGCTCTCCCTGTACAAGTGGTTCTTGTGCCTACTCACCCCGCTTCAGTCGTTCAAAGGACATGCCCCAAGACCCAACTCGTGCCTTGTAAGATCTCCTCGATCGCATGCTGGAGCCCTAAGGGCATCGGCTGGGGTGGCCAAAAGCGACGAAAAGAGCTGCATCCCGGGATGAACCGGGATGAACAAAGCTGAATGCAGCAGTTATATAGAACATCAGCTCTGATTCAAGCTGATGTAATTGTGTTGCATGCATACTGGAAGTCGTAGCAGATTGTGGCATTGCTGATGTTTCCTCCTGGGGTTGTGCGTTGCACTGGCAAGCCATCTTCATTGATTGGCCTAGGAAAGGAAATTCCAATTCTGTGGTACACTCCGAAGATCTCTCTGAATAGGAGACTTCAAAGACCTAAACGCTGCCCCTGCCCCTCCAGCGCCATTGGGGACGCACATGTGATTCTGAAGGTTTGGGGGGGGGGCATTTCCGTGTGCAGAACATTGAATCCAACATTGAATCCCCTTCTATTGGGTCAATTTTGCGGGACATCCGAGCGATCAAAGGCGTCTAAGGCTCCTAGCCCGCTTCATCCTGCCTCAGGTTGTGGCCGGACATCAGAAGAGGAGCTGCGGTTCATGCTCTTTTCATGTTCAGAAAGACTAAACAAAGTATGATATCATATGATATCTATTGGTCCTGATTAGTCCCAGGCAAAGGTGATTATATCTAATCTAAATAATTCTTGCAAAATAATTGGACACCACAAAACCTGCAAACAACCTCCAACAGCGCACCACTGACAGCTTAGTCACGAACAACCTACAAATGAGATGTGTTGGAAGGTGCTGGCACGCTAGGATTGCCAAACATCGCAGTGGAATACATAAATATAAACTATATATATATATATATGTTTTTGGATATTGCTTGATATTGCTTGCAAGTTGATCTCATGTTTTCAGGTTGAGCATCTGCCTGCCAACTTCTGCGCCATTTGTTTCCTCTGAACAGTAAGTACCAGTTCCGCAAAGTGGACGAGAGTTCTGGGTCTTAAGCCTGGAAGCCTTTCCATCCTGAATTACGGTAGCAACCACCGGGACACAGGTGGAGAAAAAACCATCCAAAACTACCGATCGCTCTGTTGAAGTCATTTCATATTTTGTCTACCAACGGCCAGGGCACGCTAATTACTGGTTATCAATGTATGTCTATAGTAGTATACATTTTAACATGTTTTAACGCACATATTTTGGATCACCACGCACCCAAAATATGGCCTGTTCCTATCAAAACAAAGGTCAAATGGGTTCCAGGGTGTATGTATATATATATAAACAAAAATATCTATACACATCAATTGTAATTGTTGACGGAACAGCTTTCCAGCACTAGCATCAATAGCACCGTGCAAACAATGCTCGGTATGAGATGCGCAACATGAGGATGTTTGGGCATGTTTGCGCTTCGATATCCAATGAAAGATACTGATTCCCCATGCTCCCTCTACCCTCGCTCCATCTCCCCAAGGCCTGGCGGTCCAACGCCTCAAGGGATCGGAGAAGAGAGACAGGGATGCAGATTGGATGCGGAGGAGGTTGGTTTGAGAGGACGTTTCCATCCTGAAGAACATGAGGCATCACGAGTCGTCCTCATGAGTCTTTTCAGCCGCAAATGTGACACTGTGATGGAGTAGCTTCGGTGTGGTCAATGCTTGTAGACTGGAGAAGGTACTATGCAACTAGACTCAACCTTGGTTCCCGCACTGCAGCATGCGCTGACGATAGGGGTGATGTTTGGCCTGACAGGCTGGGCGAGGCTGGATGAAAGCACTAAATGGTGCAGCCAACTGACCAAGCAAAACACATCCCAGTTGTATATTTAATTATATTTATTATGGAAACCTTTGTGTGACCTAAGTGCGTCTGTTCAAATAATGATCAGTACATGGTGGTAGCAGTGCCCTGGGGTTGTCGCTAATTTTGCCCGCCGTACCACGCACCCCGCAGCACAGGCAAATGTCTCTTGAAAACGACAAGTCGAAGCCGACCTGGGTTTTCAGGCAAGGGAAAGGCCTTGAGTCCCAGGCTTTGAAACAAGTTCAAGGCTGCCTGACGTACATCACTTGCCTGCCACTCCTTGCGAGATTTTCCATAACCAGTGATGATTATACCAGTCACTGGGTCGCTTCTCTCCAAATCTCGGGCGACTGCATTGGACAGCCAATCCCGCAAAGCAAGACACGCAGTTCCCTCCGAAAGGCCGTGAAGGTCCACTTCGGAAGATCCACATGCTCGCAGTCTCCGAATCTCTGGCAACTTGCATTGCAGAAACAACTGCCTACCAATCTCGCCAGAGTGAACTGCGGCATTCTGCAACAAAGCATTGTAAGTAACTAAATCTGGCAAAACGTTCTGCTTTGACATGGCCTCAAAAAACTTGAATGCTTGCTGCCATTGCCCGCCCTTCTCACATGCACTGATGGCGGC